TGGTTTAGGTTCTTGGAATGGAGGCTCCTCTTTCCTTCTGGTTCCTGCACCTGAGGTGAATGGCTGAGGACTCTCCTCCTGCATGGGGCTAGTTGGGTTCCTCTAGGTGCTGCTGGTCTGGACTGGAGTTGACCTCCCAATTATGGTCCGATGTGCCCTAGCTACTCCACAAACATTCTGCTTCCTTTTGGATTTGGGATGGATCACTTGTTCCACCTTTTGATTGCGACACAATACCAGTTGGCTCCACTTGGGCAAGGAGTATGCCTGGTTCAGATGTGGTGCAGTCTCACAAGGGTTTGTCTCCTCGACATAGAGGTGGCACACTCCATGGGTGCTCTTCAGATGCTTTTGAAGTGTGTTATTCTAGGTAATTTTACACCAATCCCTCCATCTGCTAAATGTGGTATTCTAGCTGTAACTTTGAGAGGAGGTTAGTAATCATATTGGAAGTTAATATCTTCCTACACTAAAAATATATTTCCAATAGAAACTTGCCACCTATCCTCCCCACCTATGGTGTTGTTTTTCATGCATAATCTCAAAGTGAAGATTGGGTTCAACTGCATAGAGGGAGTCAGCCACGATAGTGTGTTGCACTTCTCTTGGGGGAGAGTTTTGCATGCTGAAATGCAGCTGAGCCATGTGATATACACGTGGAATTAGGTGGCAGTTCAAGGCCAGTGGTGAGCAAAAATTTGCACACTAGAGGGCAATCAACTCGAGAATATTTGTAACTATGAGAAGAGGTAAGCATCTATTGGGAATATATTTTCAGTGTAGGAAAATATTAACTTCAGATTTTTTTGATTTTTTTTTTGTTGTGTGTGTGTGTGGTGGTTACAAGGTTGGTCGATTAGACCAACCTCGTATAGAGTTAGGGTAGAGCAAATGGTAGATAAAATGTATTGTTTTACGTTTGAAATGTATTTTGGAGGATATAAAGGTTATGCAATAAAATTTGAGGTTTTTCAGATGAAGGAAACTATTTTTAATCTTAACTTGAAAATAACTTTGCACTTAAAGCAGTCAACACTTTGATTTCATATATTCATGGAGAAGGTTTTAGTAAAAATACTTCATTAAAACTTTGAGTTTTTGTCTGCAAATGACTTAATGATTACTGAAAGCTTGCAAAATTTTGTGAAGATGCACAAAAAAATATTAGAAGTTATAATATGGAAACTATAAGGTCAATTTGGAGTCACAAATTTGGCAAATTCAGCCTGAGCCTGTAGCAAGAGGCTTAAAAGTGTGGTAGTAATGTTATAGATAATTTACTCATTTTATAACATATAAACAATAATTGATCATAGTTCTCAATGATGCCATTATTTGCAAGTTAGAGCTCAGAAAAGACGCTTATTAATCTTATATCAGTTTGAGCAATGAAGTATAGGGTAAGATTGTTAAGCATCTAACCTATATAAAAGTCAGTGTGTGTCACATCACGTCACGCTTGATTTCTGGAAATAGAAATAGTCATAGGAGCCGAAATGTATTTATCCAGATAGAATAGTTTGATTACTGTCTGCCCATTACGATATTAGTGATAGGGTGCAAGGGGCCATGAAACCTTATATAAGTGTAGTGAGTGTTGGTATAATAAGCCTAAAGTAAAGACGTAGTATGGGATTACCTGACCTAGAGCCAAGGGCATAACATTTATCATGAAAGTACAAATATTGATTTAGTTTTAAACTTAAATAATTTCTGAATTAAGCTATTTTCTGTTATATCACCAATATTTTTTATAAAAAACAAACCTCTTTAATAAACGGAGACTAAATTAAGAAATCAACAAATTTTTCCACTTTTGTTGTCTATACATTCCATTTTATACTTTCAGTACATAGACTAACAACAATATTAGTTTATACTTTTGTTGCTAAACAACATGACATAAAAGCCATTGTTGGAAGTAGTGTTACCAAAACTCACTGGCTTTTGTATATATTAGAAGTTATTAATCTAACTGATTTTCACCAATAATTACTCTATGAATATGCTATAAATTCATTTCATGAATATTGATTGGCTCACAAAATAATTTACTGATGTTTGACTGCTGTGACTGCACTTTTCGGCCTCTTTGTTGGTCAAGCTTGATTTTGCAAAATTTATTTATTTCAGTTAGCTATGAAATGTGAGGTTAGGGTATACTGTTGGGTGTGGGGTGGGAGTATTTGCCCTATCATTTTTGACAGGCTTATTGTTACTACTAGTGTATATATCTATCTGTCTATATATACACACACACACAGATGTATAGTAATTAGGTATTTCAAACCTTGCTGAAACTAGTGAATTTACATATGTGCTTAGATCAACCTTTTTCATGAAAAAAAAACACTTATGCAGTGATTCACAACTTCAAATGAATTTGTGCTTGCAAATTGCACAGGTACTTAAAGCGAAGCATTATGACACAGGAATAGCAATAAAACATTTATTTTTTAATGTTACAAATATTTCCAGAGTAACTAACTTCATTAAAACTATATCCAGTAATTTCTGATTTCCCATAACCTTGAAATGTTTTCAAATCGATTTTGCCTTTTGCTGCCATTTTTTCTGTTTGTTTCATGGATAACCACAACTATGCTGCTCCACACATTTTCAGAGACATGTTTTCACTTTTGTATATGCAACAAATAGCATGCATTATTAGATTTGTACATGTGCCTACGTGTACACCTGTGACAGCACATGTAAAACAAAAATGATATTTTGAAGCTTTAATTGATCCATGTACTACAGTGGACACTGCCTTTGCACATTTCTAATAAACAAATTGGTCAGCTTATACTGTTCACTGTTTTTGAAGCTTTTGCAAAAGGTGGAAAAAGTTGTATATAAGAATCATAAAACGAATGAAACAACAGAATTTAGTTTTCCTAAAATGGTACAGTTTTTAGTGCAAAAGAACCAAAGACATTTTCAGTGATTAAAGTGATTGATGTAAGTATACACAGTGATTTTAATTGCCACAAACCATCCTAAATTTTGAATAAGAAAAATATTAGCATCCCATTCAGTGCACTTTTGCAATAAACGTGCTTGTATGCTCTATATTTTGTATCATAATTTTGTCTTTATGTCTTTGATACACAGTAGTATAAATAAAAAAGCTATGTATTTAATTGCACTTGGTTGATATGTGAATGCCTCACTGAAATTCTTGCATATTTCTTTGTTACAAGACAACATGTTCAATAGCTTTCAATTTATTTTCTAAATTCCACACAAAGTTAATATGTTACATTCAATTACTCATTATGTCAATCATCCATGTAATGCCACATCTAATAATTATCAAACAACACTGATGTAGAATTTCTTGAGACTTGGTTTCAGTGAAGAACAGCTCCCCACATAGGCTTAGTAGTAACTCTATAGGCTTGTAATGCTAAAATCTAGGTTTTGATGTCTGTGGTGGGCACAGTGCAGTTAGCCCATTGTGTAGCATTGTGTTTAACAGCAAACAGTAAAGAACTAGTAAAGTGGATAATGAAATCTTATATTCTTAAAATTGAAAAAAAAGTTATTTTTCCTGAAATATGTTAACTTTTTTTTCTCTTGAATACAGTATTTCTTTTATAAATTATGATACTTCAACATATGATAACTCTTGAGAGTTATATATTTTTCAGTGATTTCAAGCATAGCCCCAGCTGAAATTATCATGTTTATTAGGTATTTTTTCACACTAGTACAAAGTAGGAATTAAAAAAATATGCAGAATTGTAATACCCATTTCTAAGAATAATATGACTATTATGCATAAAAATTTAATAGTTTTAGTAATTAATAACTATGCAGGAATTACTGTCTTTAGTATACTGGATATATAAATGACAAAAGTACACATTTTAAAAGTTGTGATTTAAATGCTGAAAACTGACAAAGCATTAGAAAGAAATTGACCTAAGATTTGTGATAAAAATCACAGAAACTGCAGATGTTTTTTTCCTTCTAACATTCCTATTAATTTGTCCATTTAAGGCCTTATGGGAGACCAAAGCTAGATATGAACTACTATTTTTATCACATCTCTGATTGTGAATCCAAATGGACAATTTAAGAATAATGTAGAAAAAACACATCTGAAGTATGCATAATTTTTATCACAAATTTTAAGCCTATTGGTTTATAAAGTTCATTTGTTTGATTTTATATTGCATTATTTTTGCATGCAGCCTAAGACAATGTTCAATGGTTCACTTGGTGTTGCAAGCAGTTTGATTTTAGAGTTTTTTTAGTTTTGGTTTACAGTATGTATTTACCTGTTTGTTTAAAGCCTGAGATATATGTACTTTGATGAATGTATGTAGCCAGTAGTAGGAAATACTCTCACTAGGTGTTTATAACATTTTTATAATACTATTGCAATATTAGTTTGTTTTTCTGAAAAGTCATATTCCTAAGCTGAAATTGAACAGTGTGTTTGGACAGCTTTCTTATTGTACACAAAATAATTCACAACACACACACACACACACACTCTTTCAGTCTCCTGTTATATTAGTATATTTACTCTATCACTATGTAATGTAAAATTGATACAAAACTCTATCAGTAAACTTAATTTAATAATTTTGTCTTTGGTTATGCAAAAATAATGTAATATAAAATCAAACAAAATGTGTGTTAGAAACATCAAATAATTATTAATACACTGTTTACCTGGAAAATATTTGTTTATTATTGAATTTTATATGTATATCTATATATATATATGAAAGTTTATCATTCTGAATTCTGAATTATAGGTAGAAAGTCTGTACACTTGATATGGCTCATATTAAATATTGGCACAATTATGAACATTGATGATCTTTATTATGTGGGTAATTGTTATTAAAAATATGATGTGCAGCTAAGTGATGGCTGAAGCACTAACAGTAATAAAATAACTTAAGAAACAGCTTATAAAAGAACTTGTGATATTTTAATTACCCATTCACATTTTTTGAGCACTTGTAATTTTTTTTAATCAGCAGGTAAATCTCACCAAACTAGATTCACAGCTGAACCATTGTATGCAAGAAAGAGAAGGCTTCAGGGTAAGTTTGATTTTTGTTTTTGTGAATATGCAACTCAGAAAAATGATAGTTGGTACATAAAGTAATAATTCCTCATGTAAAAGTGGTAGGTGTATTATGAACAACTAAAAAGGACAAGCTAAATTTGATTGGGTAGCCCTTGACCTTACATTTGTGTGTGTGTGGGTCAGTTGTCTTACCCCTGAAATGCTAAAAGCCTTTCCTTGTTACATTTGCTCTCATGCTGTCAACATTCATGTGACTTTAGGTTCTGAATATCCTTGATGCAATGCAGATCATCTGTCAACGTACACATTTACTAAAAATATAATGACAGAGACTTTGATATTTTATAGAACAAATCTGAATATAAGTTTGGATTTAATTGCTTAGATTCATAAGTCAAAAGTTTCTGCAAAACTAAACAAATAAGCACCTTGATAATAATGTCATAAGTTGTTTTTGCGAAAACTTTTTATAATCAAAATGTTATAGTTTTAATTAATATGCTTGGTATTGGCACTTCATAATTTAAAACATATGTGGGCTGTATTCCAACAAGGGATTAGAATAAATACAGGAACTGAAGAATGGCATCAACAGAAGTGATTAATAGGTGGATGACCACCATAATATGTTATTTGTAGAAATCATGTGAAGAGCCATCTCAAAAGACAGTCTGATTGTTGAGGATAACTAAAAATAATTTGAAAAATGCAACAGTTGTTGAAATTTAAGTTATTCAAATCAGGTGACTTTCTTATGAAATACTAAAAACCTCTTCTTGTTGTCTTTGCTCTTCTGCTGTCAATAATCATGTTGCTTTAAGTTCAGAATATCTTTGACATAAATTTACTCAGAGTTTCCACTTGACTAGTTGTATATGTGTCAAGAGAACATACATAAGCTCTGTCAACAATTTTTTCTCTTGATAGTTGTATTTGTAACTTTGCTCCCTTTCAGTTCTTAAATCAACATTAATTCTGTTGCTAATGATTATGCCAGTATTACAAATTCTACAAATTCTATGGAGATTTTACTCATGCGGTCTTCGTTTAACATGCAGGTAGATCCCATGGCTATATTGTCAGCTCTTATTGATCAACTTATTCGGGCTGTTAATTCTAAATTGTTTGCTATGGTGTATTTTCATGTTAGTGTGGATACTTAAACTGTGGAGCAACTTCTTTTTTCTCAGGATCATAAACATTAATGATTTTTGTTTAAGCCCATTGCTTTTAATGTTTGCAGAACAAATTTTGTCAGCTAGCCCCAATTCTAGAGAAGTTTCTGCTTGTCTAATTTCTATTACGTACATTCTATTTTAAATCTTGAACCAATTTCTGTTGCACCTAAGGGTGTTATAGTCATGTTTGACAATTCAGTTTTATAATATTTATATTTCCCACACCCCTGATAATCAAGTCATGAATGGTGCCTTTAGAAATCAACAAATTATTAATAGCCATCTTATTCTTTTTGTTTGTCATGCAGGTATTTTTTGGAGGCATCATCTTCTGTTCCTTGCATTCCCCTGATTTATTTAAAATTTCTACATTCTATTCTTCCTTTACTGTGACACTTACCAGTGTAGTGTCTTTCACTACCTGGCTTTTATGAGCCTTTGATACCTCAGCCCAATATGCTGTGTTGCAAGGTGCCCTTCCCCCCATAAGCAATATTTTCTGCTTGACTGGTAAGACCTTCTTCCTGCATGTAGTAGGCATGGTACAGTGGTTAGTGTGCCAGAGTGTGGAGGTGCAGCTCCATGGTTTGCATCCTATTGCCTCCAAAACAGTTGTTCTTCATTTCTTGGAGACCATGTGTGCATTATAAGAGTGATAGTTAAATCCAACTATTCAGTCTGACTAGAGTAGCCCAAGAATTGCTAGTGGGTGGCATTGGCTGCTTGTCTTCTTTGGAGTCCATCACTTCAAAATTAGGGATGACTTTTGCAGATTGCCCTCATGTTGTCTGTCACTTCAAAATTAGGGACGACTGGTGCAGATAACCTTCATGTTGTCTGTCACTTCAAAATTAGGGACGACTGGTGCAGATAACCTTCATGTAGATTTATGTGAAACTCAACAAACAAACAATCTTGCATCGTTTTGTGTCTGCAGGAGTTTCATCTGAACCAGTTTTTTGCTATCACACAGCATAACTCTTGCATCACTCTCTAGTTTCCCTAGTTTTGGATGAAATTAGAGTTCATGACAGCAGGATCTACTTTTTTTTTCACATCATATAGAATTTCATGTTTATACAGATGTCTTTCCCACTGGTTGGGGCATTGTGATGGAGAAATCAGCATAAGTCTGGTTCTTGGATTTTTCAGACAGTAGTTTATATAAATATGTAAGAATTTGGACTATCCATCATGCTTCTCTCAAGTTTCTGCCCTTTCTACATCACCATTCTATGTCAATTCATACATAATTGTACAGTGGGGGCTTACATATAACCAATCAGGGCCATATTTCTTTACATTCCCTCATTTGCTAAAGTTTTCTTCTGCGTTGTGTTCATTCTCAACATGATTCACCTTCAAGCCTGTCACATTCCCTTTCTTGCCAAGATCAGTTACTCGAAATTCTGGATCCTCATTCCACTACTTTGGCTAGATCAGCAATGATTTGCTCAATTATATTGACTTTTTCATGGAAAATCACTCCCATTACCATCTTGGAAACATCTTTGGTAACCTCGAACATCCATTTTTCTCTGAGAAGCTGAATACTTTTCCAGAGAGGCTTGATTGTTAGCACATTCTTGCCAACACTCTTTCCTGACTGACTATCAGTGTCTTTGAGCTATCTTCTAGAGTTGATGCATTAGATATAATATCTTGTTTTCTCCAACTCAATTATAATTGCTTCTTTCCTTACATACTGTGCCTTGTTCATGGCTTATCAGCTTCTTCCAAAGCTGGTTACACAGCTGCCTTATGTGCCACTTTTAGATGCTACAGAAACTGATAATTATCTTTTGATTCCATTATTCAATGCCCTCTTCTGAACTTTTTATTTTAATAACCCTGAGTTCCCAGACATTGTTTTAAATTAGGCTTAGGTTTCGTTTTACATTTCTTAACTTATTCTTCTTTCGAGCCATTATGTTCTCTCATTGTTTGCTTTTAGTGCTTCATATACTTTATTTTCTTGCAAGGCCTGATACCCAAAATGAGCCTTCCTACCTAAGACATGGGCTGGGAGTGAAGATAACCAGTGTTTCTTATTTATTGTGTTACCTTCCCTGACTCATCCCAAACACCTTTTAAGTGAATTTTGGGTTACATCTCACCAAATTAGTTATTAAGAGATATCTTTGACACGCAAGTCACAGTACCTTTTAGAAGATATTCTGTAAGCCAGCATGTGGATGAATTTGAATATGTTCTTAAAATTATTTAACATCACTTTACTGTCTCTTCAGCTTTGGGATTCCATTTAACTCCAGTTGTAATTTTCTAATGCAGATGGAATTCCTAGCAGTTGAGGTCTTCACTCTTACCTGCTTAACTATTGCTGGGGTCCATACTTAGGTTGTGTATGGTAATCCATAGTTGATTAGACTACCCAATGCCTCTTTTGACAGTTACAAGGATGTCTGGGGTTGAGGAGTCATTCAATTAAAAACAAATCTTGGTCTCTTCTTTATAATATGAGGCTCCATGTTTGAATAGATTCATCCAATTGGCAATCTTGAATGTTATGTATTTATCTACAGTTTTATTGGATGAAATACCACTATCTTGCTTATGCTCCATGAGTGTGTGTGATGCCCTCTGAAAGTGAGAAGAGGACACTATTCTGTGGCTGATGAAACCTTGGCAGTTACTTTTCCCACCTCCATGTGCACATCCTTGTAGCATTTGAAATATCAGAGATGAGACCACCATTTTTTTATATGATGTTTCATAGTTCTAACTAGATGATGAACTGCATGCTGTGCCTTTTCAATTCTTTTTGAGTGCTCACTGATTGGCCTGTTTTTGTGATTTCGCTAGCCTTTTCAGATGTAGAGAGCGTTAGTCCAAGGAGCATGTCCAGTCATCAGTTATTACGGGTCTCTTTCTAAAGAATCTTCCACTAAAGGTACAGGACAAAGTACTATACATTGAACCTGAATACCTGTTATGCAACCACCTGTGACCACATATTGCCTATTCCCCCCCTTTTTTTATATATATATTATTTAAAAAAGTGTGTCTAGGGTGATGAGATAACTTGCTGAGAAGAGTGCCTTTCTTTCCAAGTTTGCTCATTTTGGGGTCTTATGAAGCTGGTCCACTGCACTTGACTCTCCCATCAATCCACTCCATTGGCTTTTACTTTGGTTCTGGATTCTACTCAAACTCTGCTTCATTACACCTTTCATTTATTATGGTCCTGGTTGTTACCTTCTTGCCTAAGATCCCAGTTATTGGTGAACCAGTGGACTTTAGACTCTCTGTGGTTTTATTCTCCATTTCAGTGCACATATTCTGGCTTTTAGTATTTCAACAATATATTTACCTGATTTGAATTTTTAAATTGTTATAATTAAAATTAATTTTAAACAGGTACTTCTGAAATACATTCCTATATAACTCCCCACAATCAGAAGATATATGGTTTTTCATTTCTGACTGCAAATAAGAAATCTGGATTATAGCAGGCAAGTAAAACTTGTGTTTATTCTCTTGACATGTGTGCAGTAATACACATGGAAAGTGGAAGAGTGGAGAACTTTGGTTAACTTGGTGCATGTTGAACATTGTGTCAAAAATATTCATAACCTAAAGTTACATGACTGTTGATAGTATGAGAGCAAATTCAACAAGGAAAGGCTTTTAGTATTTCAGAGGTAAGTACCTGTTTGAAATCCATTTTAATACTAAAAATGTAAAATTGAAGTTGTTTATATGAAGGGAATATAAAATTAGATATTTACAGATTAGATCTAGAATGTACGTAATGCATTTTTAGAACTAATATTCAGATAAGTATTAGTTGTTAAGTATTTGTTTAACATTCAGT